TCTACACGCGTAGACACTTGGTTTGCTCTGATTTCGCTCTCAACCTGGCAAATACCGTGCGATCCAAAGTGAAGAGCAGCTGCTTCAAGCGCTTTTTTCAATTACGACAAGACATCGATAACGCGAAGCCCCCACAGCTTCTTGTGGGGACTTGCAAGTCGCGTGGACCTGGACGTCGACATTTGGCAACAAATAACGCAAATATCCAGGTACACTGGGTGGCAGATGTGGGTGGCACTTGGCAAATTCAAATCAGTCAGCATACGGCGTATGGGTGGGAGCCTCAGGTCCAAGTTCAAAAAGTAAATGATGAAAGATACGTTTGTTCCCTTTTCCATGCAAGAAAGACACACACACCCTCACAGGGTCCCAGATCATGGCCTCTAGAAGCATTTCTGTTCTCAACTACTGTACTTAGATTTTATACCGACAATCTTATCTAATGACCCTGTCACAAAGAACGCCTTGTCTCTCTGAGAACTCTCCCTGGTTATGTTCGAGGGTCGAAATGTTATAAAACTTTGTGTGGTGTACGTTAGAAAGCAAAATGGTGTTCCTTGCACGTAACGTTAACTGTTTGAGAGACAGCAAATTTAACTTGCAAATTCCGCAATATTTCCGTGGGTTTCGCAGGGCAGATAAATGAAGTTATTCCCCCCTGCGACGAAAGTTTTTTCATTTTTTCAGCCCGATTTGTAAACGCTACCTGCACCGATGTAACACGGACAAGAAAGGACCAAAGAGGAACGGCGGGGGTACCAAGAGCTCAAACCGCATTAAGACGAGCACCAAGAAGCGCTTCGCTCACTGCTTGGTACACAGGAGTGTATCAGAGAAGATAGGATCACCCGCAAAATCACGCCTTCCTCGACCCCTGCCTCCTTTCACACACGAAGACTGACTTCTAAGCCTAGATATCTAAGAGCGAGAGAGAGACACCCAGAAAAGTGTCTTTGGGTAGTTGGCTTGTGACCAAGGACAAAACGGATGTTGGAAGGGTTGAGCGGAGACCGGAACTTTTTTTAATGTGAAGACAACAGTGACAAACAAAACATGTTCTTTGCCAACAACGAGCGGTACTTGCAGAGGGAATGGACGATGTACATAGACGAAGGGATGGGCGTATGATAGAACAGCGGGCCCGACAGGGTCAATCAAGCCCGACATAGTGTGACAGGGGCCTGCCTCAGTCCCTCAGGTGGTTTTGCGTAGGAATGTCGCGGTAATTAAAGGGTATCGGAGACAAATCATTCGTCGTATACGACAAGCTGCCTGTACCACAAAAACACATCGTATGTACGCAAATGTGAGGCGCGTCCCTTTGTGGCAGTGTGGCATTCCCGCCGGGGTATCTTTTAGGCACCACGACACAACAACGACCTGAAAAAGCGGAACCTTAGCCAACCACATGCCGGAGGTGCCGGAGGTTGTTGCGCTAGAATGGAACAACAAGCTGTGTCCAATGTGCGCCGAAATATCAGCCACATGTATTGGGACAACTTTGCATTGAAATATGCAAACTGGATGCGTCGGTAATACATGGTATCCCGAAAGCGATCGTAGACAATAGTCTGTACAAGGCCACCAGGCACACCCTTCGAGTAGATCCGCTTGCTTTGGTAGATTGATTGTCTCTTTGTCTATGTGACGTAGGTAAAAATTCCGATTTTTTGTGGATAGAGAGGATACTCCGAACCTCTGACGGCTGTCTTCCACATGGACAAACGAGCAAACCAACATGGGTCGTGTGTCTTATTGTCGTGTACAAACACCCCGGTCTCACCTCGGACTCCTCAGCATCCGCAGATCCTATAGAAGACATGGAGGCTGACCGCACTAGCCCGGAGCCAGACCAAGTCATTGCCAAGTCTTCATCCGCCGGTGCCAAGCCACCCAAATCCCCCTCGCTTCCTCCGCCAGCAGCGTCAAAGAGACTCGCCTCCGCTATAAGTCCGTCATCGTTTTCATCGGTAGGCTGGGCTCCTTCCATTTCGTTTCCACCACCGATGGGTGCTGCGGAAGCGCCTCTGTCGAAGATACCTCGCGCTTTCGCAGCGTGCGGTGACATTCTGGCATCGAGGCGTTTAACCGCCTTTTAAAAATACGACCGTGGCACGCACAACACACATTACAGAGAGTCCGACACCAAGGGGGGGGTCAAAACACAACGCCGGTTACGTCCGGGTGTTGTCAACAACGTGTGAAAGAGCAGCCAACGTTCGACCGAAGATCCAAACCGACATCAGAGGGGCGGCGGGTGGAGCTAGCTCTACAACACTTTGGGCATGAATTCACTGGAATAGAGGAGCGCGGAGCAAAGGAAGACCAGCGAAGAGAGGGGCAGTTGAACCATCCAAAATCTTGAACGTACACATTATACTGGTACAATATACAAACCACACCTGCTGATGCTTCTGCTTCTTGTTGTTTTGATAGCACAAATGGGTCAGTGGCGGGAACGAGCGATCACTGCTTGAAACCTGCACTAAGTGACAATGTCTGGCTGAGCGTTCGTAGTTCATGGATGAGAGAGGTCAACTCGCTAGCTCTATCCTCCACCTGGAAAGCTGACCGAGACATGCGTTTTTCCGGGGGGTTACGGGGCGAAGGAAGTGTTGCCGAACGAAGTTGCTCCTGGCCATCCATCATCGCTTCTAGTTCTCCCTTCGGCGTCGAACTGGTACCCGAACGAGAGACGGGGGGAATGGAAACGGCGGGGAGAGCAGCAGATATACGACAATTCCCCTCTGCGCTCAGTCTGTCTCCAAAACAACCAGAGGTGAGGTGTAGGGGCACCGTGTCTGCTACTATACAGAGAGAAAAAAAAGTCTGTACATTTATGAAAACCTCCGTGTAACTGCCACCTCGTGCCAAAAACAGCAAATCCTACAAGAGATTTGCATCTAAAATCTAGCATCCTTTGTCTCGCACAGCACGAATGCGCTTGGATCTGAATGGCCATTCTACTTGAAGACTAAAGAAGAGGGGATAGACTTGAAGAACCGCCATGGACGGCGACGCTGACGATCTAGACCAGGTAGTATAGGAATCACGTCCTTTACCACTGCCGTAACCTAGATCATGCTGCTGAATTGTACACGGCAGTAGTGCTGTAGAGTGCTTCGTACATTCGTCGTCTGTCTGACCAGTAACTCGACCCGCATACATCCTATGAACAGGGCCTATTGAGCCAAGCACTTCGGATTACATAGTCTTCCACGTCCGTATGAAGTAATCTCGCTTGTATTGCACCTGATCGTGCTGCGTGTGATATACCAACAACCAAACGCGGCAGCTGGATGATGTGCAGCGAGAGTTGGAGGATTTACGGCTCGAGAACCGCATATTCAAGTCGTACTACGAGCGACACGCCTCCGAGGTTGCAGACGTCGATGAAGACAAGCGGAAGATGACCAATCGACAGCGTCGCAGACAGCTCCCGACGGTATTGACCATTGAGCAGAAAGTCGAAATCGGCGTGCACGAGCAGGAGGTGGCGCACAAAGATGTGAGTCGGGTCTGTACTGGGAGCGAACTCTGCTGAAATACATAGACTACATGTAGTCTAGCAGACATTCAGCGGTGATATGCATCTAACATGCATACATTACACCATCCCTAACATGTTTCCGCCTGCTCTCCCCAATGATTCTTAACCTCAAGCTGGAAGACACGAAACGAAACTCTGAGAAGCTGATTGACACCCTGAAAGCGGTCTTGGAGGAGACCGACATCCGCATTGCCGATCTCAAGAAAGAGGCCTACGAGTTCAAGAGGGACATCGTTGTGGGCGCCGAAAACATGAGGACAGGGAATACCATGGCAGAAAAGGTGGGGAGAGAAAGCCCCACTAACAAACAAGAATATGTGCTACGAGTATAAGAGACGTACCCAGGTCGTTGAGTCCTCCACCTCTTTTTGTGTAGTCTACTGCTGCGGTGTTTTGTACCAGGCATGCCAATAGTCTAGTCTACATGTAGTCTTGGTTCTCTACCTCGTTTTCGTATTCTCTGTAGCTTGCGAGGCAACTGAAGTGTTTGACTCGAAGAGTAGACCCGGGAAGAGGGATGGGCTGAATAGAGCTACAACAGCAGCACCACCACCAATATGCCAGGATGTCAACAAAACAGGCTCGTTGGCTTCGGATACACATGCAAGGTTGCCGCTCGGATTGTCAGCACTTGCGATCAATTGTGAAACCTGGCCCGGACGCCCTCAAGAGCCATACTGGAGGAAGAGACAAACACCCCACAGTTCGGATGATGTGGGGTAGACTATACTCCGGAGTACACAATACACTTTGAAATGCCCACGGTTGGCAGAGTTACAAGGTAGGGCCATCATACAAAAATCATTGGCCCTTGCATGCACAACTTCATGTTGACTATGCTTGCAAATACTCAGGTTATCAGATACATGGAGGACAAACTCCGACAACGTGATGCAATGACCGAAAAGCTCCGACTCAAAAACACCACCCTCAAAGGCCAACTGCAAAAGGTGAGGCAATCAGATGGCGAAAATTTTATGAGGGACAGCTATTATTGTAGCGCTAACTTTAATAGCTTTCGTACTTTTGCTCGCGGTTGGTTGTGCCGATCGAGCGCTCGCACGTGCGCCCACTCTTGTATGTTGCTGCAAAAATATGTGTGATATGAAAGCTGGTCGGCTTCACAGGTGGAAGGCCAGCTCCGACAGAAAGATGACATGGGCGATGCTCTACACTACATCGATTTCCACCAACTTCAAATCGAAAACAAACAATACGTCAGCCGTATCGAGGAGCGCAACGACGAGCTACTCAAGGTGTGAATATTTGTTCAGTGTTGCCAGCGGGCAACTGTGTAAGCAGGCTACTTCTGAGTCGGCAGTCGCTGTTGAAACGAGTGCCAGTTGGCACGGCAGGCGAATCACGCTCTGTAAGTCCTTCGTCACTGCTCTACTACTGGTGTTTGTGTCTTGATCATCCTTGTCTTTCTCTGTGGATTTTCCAGCTCAAGATGACCACTGGAAAAACCGTCCAAGCTCTCAACACTCTGAAGAACTTGCTTCACCAGCGCCTGGCCGAAAGCGAGTGGCTGTCCAAAGAGGTGATGGGCCGGTGGGTTGCTTTGAGCGCCAACTTTGGTGTCTCAGCGAAGGCATGCTACCAAAGTTGCTTTCCTATATCTGGCTCTGAAGTTCTCGCTCTGGAAGGCCTTCAACTACATTTAGTGGTATCGTACAAGCTGGACCAGCCAAGAAGGTCGCTTTTGTTCTTTCGCATCTCACGCTGCCGGCTAAACGAGTTTAGGCTTGAAATTTGGCAGCTGCTCGTACACGACAAAAGGGGAACTGCTGGTACCAGAAATTTTTTAGTCTGAGTTGATTAGGTATTACATGTTTGGGGGTACTCCGCACTCGATACTGATCTACGGGGATTTAGGGGGTTTCGTGTATCATTGGCGGTATGTATTAGTAGAGGGGCGATCCCCCTTCTGCTGTGCATGGGCTAGTGTTAAGGAGGATCCGATTCAGAGGGGATCCGTCGATTGACTTTTACCTGGATCGGTACACTTTCGCACATGGCGTCAGCTGGATACTGGATCGAATCTCCTTGGGTGCACACTTTTTCTCCTGACTTGGACATTTTTCCATGAACACAATGGGTGCCAGTTCTGAGAGTACCTCTTGGAGTCGATCCTAAAAGAAAGCCTTGTGACACTTCGATCGAATTACCCATCCTGGCCACAAGAGGTTTCCAGTCGAGGGTAAATTGTGGGTGGAGAGTCAAGGAGGACCCGATTCGCAGGGTATCCGTCGATTGACTTTTACCTGAACCGGTACACCTTCGCACTAGCATGCCTGGCGCACTCGTTAATATACCAAGATCTTGAGTCAACCTTTCTTCTCTGCGCTTTTGACAACAAGCTGCCCACCTCCAAACATTACACGATCAATTGACTGCGTAGTACCCGATACCTCTGGTACTGATATTTGGTGTGCACGTACCTGAGAGCAGTGCGAGAGTGTAGATGATAGTTATAGGGCTCAATTCATCTTCCATCAGAAGTTATGGCCTCGTAAAGATTCATATACAATAGACAAGATAGCTGAGGGAATAGAAGGATATCACGATTTACACCACGATTTTTACGAGTTGGAATCTGAAGTATTGACATGTGGTCGGTCTTATCGCAATTACATCACAACTTTTACGAGTTGGAATCTGAAGTTTTAACATGTAATGTGTGGTCGGTATTAGTACAACCAAGACCTTGACTGAAAGCACCCATTTTTTTTATAGTTCCCCTTTGTACAACGTAATTATCACCATTTGTCCCTTAATAGGGCTACCTCGTGAAAAAAACAAAAAAGAAGGGTGCTTCCAGTCAAGGTCTTGGTTGCACTAATACTGACCACCTATCAAAATGTCAGGTTCTAAGTCGCAGAAATAGTGGTGTAAATCGTTTTCAGCCATTTTGCATGCAACTCGGCTGGCCCAGCTTGTAGTCAGGGCTGATTTTTGTAGGTTAATTTCGAGGCAATGGCCGATTTAAACGATTATGGCTTGTTAGAAAACATCCTCTCACGTGTCACATTAGTTTTGCGTGTCTCCTCAATTTTCCAGATACAGCTGAGGACAGAGACACTAAGCAAGATCAAGGAAGAGAACCGGGCGGTTGCCACGGAGATTTCCGCCGAACGACGGGCAAAGAAGAAACTGAGCCAGCACAAGGTGAGCCGGAAAACAACAGAATTCATACTGATCTTGTTGATGAAATGCCGCCGCACGCAACCGGCGGTGTGTTGGTATCGTGCTAGAAGGCGGTTGATTCTCTTTGTCGCCGTGTAAGTCTTCAAAGTACCGCGGCGTCTTGGGACAGGAGGGAGCGCAAACCATACTTGACGAAAATTTCTCCAACGGAATGAAGTGTCATGGCCATAGCGGAACAGCCGGGGATAATTTGAACGGCATGCTTTCCCATGGTGGAAGGTCGAAATAAAGTACAACACCGGGTGTCCTTGCATCCACCCCCACGCCTCAACAAGCTACTTTGCAAAGTAACTGTCGCATTTCATTCCGTCACTTCTACACACCTGTGAACCAATCTTCATTTGTGGTTCCTGATACGCTGTTCAGGCGGATACCCAGGAAATGCCAAACGTGGACGACTACATTGCGCAAAAGGCGACCGTGTATCAGTTGCAATCGTGCTTGGCCAACTGGGAGCGGAAGGTGCGGAATATCGATGCAATCCTGAGGTCATCACCACCATCCCAAACGTATGGTACCCACGGATCTCAAGGTGCTTGGCCTTTCTACATGTTATATCGACTCTCGTCCTGGCACGAACGCTGTCTAAAGCGTATGCACACGTTGTTGTTGACTTTCCATGCATACAAGAGTACGCCGGCCTTCGCGGCAACGGGATTTCCAGCTATCTATCTTTTTAATGCAATGTTTCTCCCGTTCTCGTCGTCAGGTGGAGATTGCAAGCATCGGAGCAAGAAGAGCAAGGGCCGAGGCAAAGAGAATCAGCGTGTAGGGGATCAAGTCAATCGGAATAAACAATATATGACACAATACCGCCCAGTTGGCTTTCCTCATCGCCGCATCTTGACGCATGCCCACATTCAAATGCCAATATCGCGAGGAGGACCGAGGTTGCTTTGAGAGTGTCCAGGTCGTGTAGATGGTAGCCCACAGCTACTTTGGTGTACAGCGCTACACACTATTTCTCTACGTTGTTGTCTAGCACACCAAATCTAAAAGGCCACTCTTGTGTCGCGGGAACATGAATCATTGGGCTCGCTAGCCTTGTCTAGCTCAGCGTAGTCTGCGATGAGACTCTCCAGACTCTCCAATGCTTCGTCGAAGCCTCCGCGCTCCATAAACTGCAGGAGGACGCAAGCACACATGTTTGCCACGGGCGGTGATCGTTCATTTCTTCCCGTCTCCAAGAAAATCTCCATGGTTGCACGGACAGCGTAGCCACCTAGATGTAAACTCGGATAGCACATCAGATGAAAACATGCTGCCCTAACTATAGATGCCGTTGTTGACGAAGTATTCTCGGGTTGGAGAACGGAATCGCGTTTGTATCTTGGTTTTGTTCAGAACAAGGAAGAACATTTAGTCTGAGCAACAGGTTATTAGCGAATTACCAGACCAATATCTCGTCAATTGCAGAAATAGTACTATGAAGATTGCGAGCGCGCTCAATAATTTAGGCTACAGAAGTGGATTTCGTTCTCGTTAATACGACACGTGCGTGTGTGTGTGTGCCCCGCGATAGAATATTCACCGTGTTTCGAGAGAAACACCATTCGTTCTTGTGCATTCGCATGCGCACAGAGGGATGGAAGCAGCCATTTGCGCAGGCGTGCTTGTGTATCTCTCTTCCCGAACAGTCTTGCACTCTGGATACGTGCGAAGACATGGTACGTACACGCGATCCCTCAGTCCAAGGCATGCGGGTTGTCACAGCTGCTGTTCTTCTCCATTCTTTCGTAGCAACCAGCAACCCAATTCGCGTAGTTTTGCACTCAGCACAGAAAACCGTATCCTCGTCTGTTCCCTCTACATGTACATCAGACCGAGTATTAGGCCATCCAGACGACACGTACCGCTTTCTTCTTGCCCTGACCGTCGTCCTAAGGATGCAACAAGATTTAGCACACTACTTTTTGTGCGAATCTTCATCTCTTCACTGCTCTCTACACCACCCTAAACACACTACGAAAATCTCTGAGAGGACCAGCACGGTTGCCCGAGGCAAGCTGCGATATCATGCAGAAATAGTACTATGGAGATACGCTCACCTCTGTGTAGTGATGAAGCATTGCTTCTCTGTGATAAAGCTGGATGAAGCGGCGTCTCAGGTCGGCGAAGGTATCCCTGACAAAACGAGAGCATAAATTGTAGTGCGCTTTCGGTCTTCCTGTAGTACACTGCATAGGAAAGTGTCCGAGAATCCTGACACATCCAACACCACCTCCTCCGGTCTATCTTTTCGGAATGCTGCACGCAAAGCAGAGAAGAGGTGTCCTGATCGAGCAACGTCTACGGGGTACAAAATCCTAAATATACTGCAGCATAGTACATGCAACTTTGGTGCAGCACAAACTCCCTCCTCACATAATACAGCAGTTGTTGGAAAGACACAGGAGCGATTGCGTTGTTCCAACGGGTGGCACCGAACATAACCCAATCTTGTATCCTTCCGGGTTCCAATGCACCATGTCGAGCTCAGCAGCAAGGCGCTCAATGTTAGCGTTAACATCGGAGACAACCACCTCGCCTCTGACCAGCAAGCCGCAAGCCAAAAACTTGGATTTCCTGCTTAATTCACGCGGCAAGCACACGTAGGACGCCATCAGGTACGCGCCGACAAAGGTTCGTATCCACCCGAGCCGGTGCCCGGCGCCGTTGCAATCACAGCTGGTCACTCAACAACTCCCACGAACCTGGGGTCAGCCCGCATGAGCATGTTTGAGGCCGAAAAAGCCCCAGAAAACATTTGGGCCATGCGCCGCGGCCTTCCATCAAAGCCAGCAGCCGCAGGAGGGATTGTGCGTCCATCGAATACCTCTGCTGAGCTTCGAGTGGGCAAGGGGCTGACACTCGACAGCAAATAATGTAATCGCGGGAACGGTACCAAGTTTGTGGTAATCTCGTTCAAGTCGACATTCAGATCGCCGGCGAACCGCATCGAAGCGGTCAGGTCAGTCAGTAGTCTGGCCACCAAGCTATTCATACTGTCGAAACCCGAGGAGGTGCCCGTTCCGACGGGTCGCAGATCAGGGCCAGAGTCCCACCTGAAGAATGAAACGTGCGAAGTGGTAGCGTCGAGACATCAAGCTTGATCGCAATCCTGCTGACCTCTGTTACAGACGAACAATGCAGTCAATCAAGCCTCAAGACCTCTTTAAAACAACGGCAGTAGTCGGGCTGCCAAGCCTAGCACAATAGACTACATTGACCCGCAACCTCCCTACAGCGGGAGTTTTGAACATGGCGACAACACCAGGTATTTCTTCGCCAACGCACAACGGTATTAATTGACATCTACCTCATCGGCATTGCGAGCTGCTCGCCGTTTATATTCGCGTGTTTCTATTTCACAAGTATCTTCAGAGAAATGTTGCAATAAGATTGTTGCACTACGAAAGTGGATTCAATCTACCCTCGCTGATAGCACATGGCACATCCAGCACTCACGACGCCACGATGTTCGCCAAGGAAGCGTTGTCCACCGGCAGCACACAGTGAGCGTGCTCCGTAAGCTCACTGAGCGCGAGAACTGAATTGTATGGGCTGGTGATGACATCGTCGTCCTCTGACGGGAACACCACAGTCGAAAAACGGTACACGTCCGGGAAGTGGTCTTCCAACAAAGTGAGTAAATACGTCCCTAGCCCTGATCCGGTTCCGCCTCCCAAGGAATGCATCAGGAAGAAGGACTGCAGTGAATCACATGTCTCCGCTGCCCTTCGCACAGCCTGAAGAGGGACAAGGAGCAGAACAATAAGGACTGGCGCATGGGTCTTGGTGGTCTTTGATCTGGCGGCACGTATTAATAATGCCCATACACAGAAACTGCGGGTCGTACGTAGTATCGAATACTGCTGCAGTGCGCGAATCGCGAAGTTGATGTTGAACAGTACGAGTCTCCTACATATTGTGCGCGCATCAAAACGCGCGCATCAACCAGCGTCCTCCGCATTCAGTCAATGCGGACGGGTAAATGGGTACAACCGCCCTGGCCTGGAGGAGAAGATTTACGCACGTTATATATATGATAGTCAGCACAAGGCTTGCACGAACCTCCAGCAGCTCATCGTTGTACTCAGGGCCATATATTACGTTTCCATGGGCCCAGTTGTTCCCAGCTCCAGACACACCCGTCACAAACTGTCGCTTGTCGAACAACTCTCCCAATTCGCCCCTGTTCGTCTCAAACACTGGGCCGGTCTCCATGTCAATGAGGATAGCTCGGGCCTTCAGATCATAAATCGGTTGTCTGCCATCACCGATAGCGACATTACGATTAGTGCGGTTGTCAACATTGCGGAAGAATGTGCTCATGCAGTCATCGAACACGCCGTCGAGATTGGCGCTCGCATGCTCCGCGAGGGCTTCCTTCCAAAAAGCACGCCCGATTTGATTCCCACACTGGCCGACATGGATGCTGACGATTTCCCGGACCATGGTGCGCGGTGGATGGGAAGATCTTCGACGAGATTGTGCACACACGCCCGAGAACAAACAACGAATGGCAGGCGCGGGCGAGCAGAACAAACCATCTCTTGACCGTCTTCTCTGTAGGTCCGATCTATATTGCGGGGAGAGTTGTGAAAGTTTGACAGTCCCGCGGTGGTACGCAGATTGTCAAATCCACATTATATTTGCATTGATCATGCAAATGTGCAACATGTGCAGCATGCAAACGGGGCGAGGTGTGCGTGGGGGAGGGGTTTGAAACCAGTAGGATGTTACATCCTGCTCCCTCCCTGTGATACAATGTATCCTGTGGGAGCGAATCTTGGTAAATACTTCGGGCATACTTTGCCTTGGCAACCTGGCCAGGACCCAGACTGCTGCGAAAGGAGAGGGACTTTATAGACTGCTGTAACCCTTCCCTTGATGCGTGGTGGCCGCCCTGCTGTGTGACCTGGCTCGTGCGTCACTACATGTACGTCAAAACAAACACACCGAAAAGTGCAACGTCTGGCGTCCAAAACCACAGGGGAACCAACCGAACGAATAAGGGGTATTATTAGCCAACACCACGGAACATTTCACGGAAGCGTGTCATCTTGATCATGTATGGAGGCGTTTTTCCCCGAAAATGTGAAAAGAAGGAGCGGGGATTGGAAAAATCCCGGCACAGCGAGGGCTGCTTATATTATTTAGGCTGTCTCTTATAACGTTCAAAAATCCAGTTGAAAAATGCGTAATTTCCCAACCCCCAAAAAACAACATGCTGCCTGCAAAAACGTTTCTTTTGGAGTTGATGCCTCTTTGCGGCGGCGTTCGTATTTTCAAACCCGTGCACTGCTGTTGTGCCGCACGGGCGCGGGAATTTGAACACACGCGGGCGGAACAGACGTAGCTCTCAGACTCCCAGCACGCCGGTGTACAGACCTCCCACGCCATGCCGGCTACGGAATCTCTGCTGCTAGACAAGAACCCCCTGTTGACGGCGGCTTTGGAGTTGTTTAGTTCCGGAATCGGCGATGGATTGACGATGAAGGAAGTTGTCAGGCAGCTGCAGACGGTCGCTCTCTGCTATACCGCGATGGGAGTCAAGAGGAACGCAGGAGAGATAGACAGCAAGAAGAGAGAGGCGCTGCTACTCAAGGCATACAAGGACGACGTCGTGCCTGGCTTTCTGAAATGGTTGTCGGAGGAGGGTGATTGTACAACCCCGCCCTGGCTGACGATGGAGATGATGGGCCGGGTTGCTGTACATACATGTAGGCACCAATGGCACAGGAACGCCGGTGCGGAAGAGCAAGGGGAAAGAGAAACAGCAGCAACCGAAAGGTAAGCATCAAGGTACCAAGGGCGCAGGTTTCAACTGCAGAGTGCTAATCGTAGAGAACTTTACCCTGAGTGTAACGCGCGACATTCGCGAGATCATACCGTCGTTAGCTGTACGACCTTCATCTGCCGCCATTTAACTGTAGGTTTACGTCACGAACGCCCCACCATCTGTTGCCACTTTGTTACAAGGAACCAACACCGTGAACCCAACAGCCGTCCATGCCGCTGATGTACTCTTGCAGTCTACTGTGTGCTGAGTGAACTGTCCTGTTAGGGTAGATTGAGCCCGAGGTTGCTCGTTCGCATCGGCGATTGTTCGTACATCCTCCGCGTGGTGCAAGGTAAAAGTACAAGGGTCCAGCAGTGTAGTCTATGTTGATCATTCAGCTGGGCAACGATTTGCTGAGTTGCCCGAGGTACAACATGTGACACTCAGCCATACGAGCAGTAGGATTCCTGTCTCAGCATTGCTGTTCGCACCGTTGCCCCACGCATTTGCCAGATGAAGAACCAAAGCTGTACAAGGACGGGAAGAAGATCTGGGCAAGGTACCTGGATGCCTTCCGCGACATCAGGAAGGATGCCAACCCCGTGTACGACAAGTAAGTTGCTCGGGTCTGTGTTGAACATATTTGTGTGTGCACATACTATCGGTAGTTGAAGGTGTGTGTTTCATTATTTTCACCGCGATTGTGTGTAGATATGTACACTGCTACTCTTCCGCCGGCGTGAACACAGCAGAGCTCAGGCGCGCGGCAGACTATCTGCGTCGAACGATCCAGTTTTGTTGTATGCACATGACGTGGGGAAAAATAAGCGGGTGGTACCGCTGACAAACGCGGAAGCGACGGTGGTGGTATGCTACAGAAGAAGTGATGCGCTGACGCAAGTGACTGACCAGGAGTTGTTTTGTTTCTCGCACTCTTAAGCCTCACCGTTGGGCACTTTGATTCTCCCGCATACCCCTGAGCGAAAACTCCAACATACGCGTGCGCTGGGTTTTCGATGTGCCTGATATGTAAGCGCGACAAGGCGGCGATAGATACGCTGGTGGACGGGGTAGCAGGAGGAGGGCGGATGATCAAGGCGACAATCTGTGAACATCCGTAGTTTAGAGTAGCCTGTCGGGAAATTGTTGTGTTTTTCAAAGAGCTCCCACCCGTGGCGTAAAACAGAAACAACTCATCTCGACATAGATTTGGTTCGCCCCCCGCATGATCACTCCGTCCCCAACAGTACCTCGGGCCTGCGCTTTGCCCCGCACTTTTGCTGTTCTACGACGATCTGAACCATATAGCTGCGGCTCAATTGACGACTGATTTCGTTCGGTCTCTTCGTGTCTGGTCATGGGAAGAACCCTCCAAACATGCTTGAAGTTTCTCCTTCTCCCCGAATAATGTAGCTCAAGGGCAACAAAAATGGCTCAGGATTGTTTGACTCAAGGGATCATATCTTCAGCTGTGCCCATGCTGTAGTAGATGCTACCCCTTCTGCCCCACACGTTTCGTACAACAACTGCCCTTTTGTGCCGTCATATCGACTCCATCCTTTTTATGAACCCCCTCCCAAGGCCAACTCGAAGCAGAGTATTAAATGTATCAATGGCGTGCTGCCTTGGCGTGGATGCGCGGATCTCTATCTTACAGATGGTGGGGTAAGAAGTTGGCGACCATGATCATTCTTTTTATGTCCGGTGTCGTGTTCTGAAGTTCGTCCATGGGTTCCCGTCGGTTCGCTGATTTTCTTTCTTCGCCCAGAACCATCGGGGACCAACCGGGCGGGACCCCTCCATCTGGAGAGCAGTATGCCGACCAGCTTGACGAGTTACTGCAGGCGTTGTGGGAATACCAATGCAGAGAAAAAAATAAAACCGTGGAAGTGACCGCGGAGGAGAAGGAATTCTTGCGCGCACGTGGCCCCTCGGCGGCGAAGGGCAAGGGTACGGGAAGAGGTTCCTCGGCCGTCGACGTAGACCTCTCTTCCACGGACGGGGAGGTCGTACAAGGTACGGAGAAGGAGGGAGGGGGTGCGGACGCGGGGAAGGATGAGGAGGTGGCGGCGGGGGCGGGGAGGGCGGCGGGTTCTGAGGGAATCGACGGTTCTGGCGACGGTGGCGCGGGACGGGAAGGGCAGCCCATGGAACAGGAGCAGCCGAAAACCCCAGGAGAAGAAGACGACGGCGGCTCTGAACCGGAGTCAGTCGTCCAATATCCCGAGAGGCCTCCCAATTGGATGCCCTACTATTTTCTCACCTTTTGCTTCTTTGGTAGGCCCAGCAACAGCGAGGACACGGACCTTGCAATGAAAGCTGGATCTGGCCCCTCTGGAGATTCTCGTCCGCGGAAGAAAAAGAAAGCTTCTTTGGGCTCGTCCAGCGACGGGGGGAGTGGGAGCGAGGGGGGTGCATCGGACCCCGCCGCGAACTTGGGCAGGGCCGGCGTTAAGCAGTTCGTCGGTGCCGGGGAGGCGCAGAGTCGGGCCCAGGTTAAAAAGGCAATGGCAAAGGACGCAGCCCAACAGTCGGCGGAGACCATACGAAGGGAGGGACTGGAGTTGGCAAAGCAGCAGGCCGAGATATCGAGGTCGGTGGCTAAAGCAGTGGCGTAAGTGGCTGCCGATGTGCAAAGAGGCAGGGAGCTGAGCGAACAGGAGGCTGGCCGCAAGCGCAAGCTGGAAGAAGAGGAAGCATGCCGGAAGCGCAAGGCTCAAGCGAAGGACGATCTGAAAGGCGAACTGGACCGTCTCGATCCAGACGACGAGGACAACACCGCACGGCGCGCGCAAATCAAGCGGGATCTTGCTAAGCTGTACAGAACCCCTGTCAGCAAATTTACTGCTGATGCTGCCACCTCCAACCCAACGAGCACGCCGGCCGTGGCGCCGGCCAATGCGTCAGGCTTGCCGGCGACGTCGTCGGGTGTGGCATCTCCGGTTGCGGTGACAGCGGTATCGGAGACGCCGGCAGCGGCAGCGGCGGCAATGACGACGGCTTCTCCCGCTCTGTCCGGCTTTCCTGGTGCTCCCGCTCTGCCCGGCTTTCCTGGTGCTAGTGGTGGAGTTGTCGGGGCAGTACCGAGTGCAGGTTCGGGGGACGGTGGTGGCGGGGGTGGATATTCGCCTGGTTGGATCAACATCACTAGCATATAGACCTTTTCACCCATGATGCGAGGAACCAGGTGAACGTTCGCATTTTTTTTTTTTTGCGAAGAAGTTGGATGCGGCCGCAGTTGTTTGTCCTTTTCTTGCAGCGTTTTTTTTTACTCTCGGGGGCCTGCAGCAAGCAAGTGTCGTGAGTGCTGTAGCTCTTTCTCTACTTTCATTTTTTTGTTGTGCTGTGTGCTTAGCGGAAGGTGTTGTTCTGTACGGGCAGCACCTCACCGCCACACACCCTTCGTCACAGCGACGCTCGACCTCTCTTTGTGTTTTTTTTTTTGCGAGCGGCCAACGTAAGGTGGGGAGCAGCACAGGCGGCTGGGCGAGGGTGGGAGGTTTTGCCGGCCGTAGTAGCCGCGGCGGGCGCAGTTGTTGTTTGTCTTTTTCTTGCAGCGTTTGTTTTTACTCTCGGGGGCCTGCAGCAAGCAAGTGTCGTGATTGCTGTAGCTCTTTCTCTACTTTCATTTTTTTGTTGTGCTGTGTGCTTAGCGGAAGGTGTTGTTCTGTACGGGCAGCACCTCACCGCCACACACCCTTCGTCACAGCGACGCTCGACCTCTCTTTGTGTTTTTTTTTTTGCGAGCGGCCAACGTAAGGTGGGGAGCAGCACCGGCGGCTGGGCGAGGGTGGGAGGTTTTGCCGGCCGTAGTAGCCGCGGCGGGCGCAGTTGTTGTTTGTCTTTTTCTTGCAGCGTTTTTTCTACTCTCGGGGGCCTGCAGCAAGCAAATTTCGTGAGTTCTGTAGCTCTTTCTCTAATTTCATTTTTTTGTTGTGCTGTGTGCTTGCGCAAGGTGTTGTTCTGTACGGGCAGC